TACAAGTTACGTGTATTATAGAAAGTTCTTTAGACTAAATGGAACATAATAGATTTAATACAAGTTACGTGTATTATAGAAAGTTCTTTAGACTAAATGGAACATAATAGTGTTAATTTACGACGAAAATATTGCTATTATTATACAAAAAAGTAAGAAAAACGAATCGTCTGCCTTCCTCCTCCCAGTGGCTCAGCAGTACGTTTGATGGCCTATAAAGCTAAAAATCCGGTGTTCGATACCAGTAGTGATCACAGCGCAGATAGCCCATTGACGTAGCTTTACACTTAGCAGCAAGCAAACAAAATGTTTGCGTGAAATTACTGCTATTATATCAAAGGCAATGGCTAAAACTGGACGCCATGAAAAAGAAACATACTGAGAAGTAGTCAACTTTTCTATGGCTGAAATACGTAAGGTAAATGCTCGATACATAATATTTTGTGTGAAAGCTGCCTTCGGTGGGTCAGTGGTAAGTTTACGGGCTTGCAATACTAAAACATGGGGCTCCATTCCCCACAGTGAACAGAGTGCAGATCTCACTGTGTAGCTTTGCGCGAAAACCAATGTTGCCTTCAGAACACACTGGTTAGCAGCCGTATGTGACAATTTTCTAATGTTTTACACCGCATAATAACCGCCTCTTATTTTATTTAGCGGTGTATTGTTCCTCTGTGATCTTCTGTTTTATCTAAATTATATAACTAGGCTGATATGAGTACTGTTGTCTGTGGTGTCACGTGATAGAAGTTCACGCTTGGTAGACCGAGGTGTCCGCTATTCTGGAATGCAACTATGCATGATAAACGTTATTTTTTTTTTCTGTCACGCTTTTAAGGTGACATTAGAATGACATCACATTACGTCACATCACATTACCTCTGCCTTACACTAGTTCACATGTGTTGAATATATTCTCACTAGCGACCTTGAAGGAAAATAGGATTTCGCTGGTCCGAAAGTTTGAATGTGACCTAAGAGGTCAAGCTTGAAACATTTTAGAAGTCTACCTTTGTCAATTAGGACTTTGTCACATATTCAACTTTCTCAGTGCAGTCTGTCGTACTTGAATTGTAAATTAATATGTAGAAATCTAAAACCTACTTAGAATAAGAAAATGTAAGGACAGTAGAACTGTGCTTTGAGAGATGAACTAAGGTAAAAATACTTAATAGTTAAAAGGGGGCGCGGTAGTAGAATTCCACTGAAAGTCTGAGTAATACACTGCAATTTACTTTCTATATATTGTGATATTTCTCTAAGACCTGATGGCCTTGTAGTTAGTGTGCTCGGTTTATAAATTCTAGGGCCCCAGGTTCATGACCAACCGCTGTTGGTGAGCTGTCACAGCACACTATTCGCAGCCTGAAAGATACTTAACCAAAATAACCACCACACATCGGAAATAAGGACAAAAACAGTCCAAGAGAGAGAGAGAAAGGGTATAGCTCCGTGCGAAAATTCTAAAACGAACAAGACCTTAATAAATTGATTTTTTAATGCTATTTTAAAGAACTTCATATAGTTGTGGCTAAACTTTATCTAATCAAAAACACCTAAGGTGTGAAAAAAGGTGCAGCTAAAAAAGGATCTTTCACACCTAAGATGTTTTGGTTTAGAAATCACACCAAAAAACCACAGCAAGTAAGCAAGTGACACTCGATAGTAACCAACATTAGATTTAAGATTGCAACCCTATTATCTGTAACAGACCTATACCTTACAGAATCAACTAGATTATTTAAAATATATGGTGGTAATTTTTCCTCTCTAAAATAGTGATAATAACTTCCTTTATAGTAACGCCATGGAATCTAGATTAATAGTTTTCTATCATCACCCGCACGCACTCGGTACAGCTGTATCAAGCATAATTATTTACGCTAATTGCTTAAGTTAATATCACGTGACCCTAAATGCTCTTTGCTTAGGAGAATTTCATAAGACTTAGTAAATTTGTGCTTAGAAGTTGTCAATGAATAATAACTGTCCACGCATATGATTCTTATGAAAACTTGAGCTAGAAACTGCTAATCTAGTTTGCTTGGCCTAACCAATACTTCTGTATCTGCACATCCTTTCACTCTATAAGTTTGCTGCTCTAAGTTAGTCAGTCATCTTTAATCCGAATGACAAAAAACTGAAAACAGTCAACTTTTACTTTGAGGTGAAGTTGTAGTAAAAATTTCATCCCAATAGCACACGTGACTTTTTGCGTAGGCGTGCGCAAAAATTTTAGTAAAATTTGAGCGGTTTCGTTGAATAACTATGCACATGTGGCTTATAATTAGAACACATTTGACACCTAATTGTAAGTTGTAAAGATCTATCAGTGCACCAGGTTTAACAAATAAAATCCATAAAAGTTAAGTATGTTTTTCTATCGAATAAAGTTTCCGTACCTTCAGTGCGAAGAAAAAAAAAAGGAAAAAATTCAATCAAAATTGGAGGTTTCATATCTCATGTATTTCTCAATGGATTGCTTGGAAATTTAGTATGTGAAGTAAGGTTCCAGTAGAGCACATCCACTGAAAATATGTGATAGTTTGGATTACCACAGTCCGAGCTGAAGAAGGTGGAAAATCGCTAAACTATCACTCCTGTTAATAACACACAATGTGGCCTGCAGGTTGTTTTGGCCGCACGACACATTACCGTGTGTCTTGATAAAAATCTTAAGATGATTAGTGTAACAACTAAATCTGTGTGTCATAATCAAATCAAAATATTTTACGTCAAATATGGGACATAAGTTTGTTTGTAATTAAGCACAAAGCTACACAATGGGCTATCTGTGCTCTGCCCACCACGGGTATCGAAACCCGGATTCTAACGTTGTAAGTCTGCAGACATACCGCAGTACCACTGGGGGGGCAGGGACATAAGTAAAAACAACAGTCACTGTTAGACACGACTTTTCGAACCCACCCCTAAGAAAACTCGTTGCCTTCATATACTTTTATATATCAAAAATAATAATAATAAGATTAAAATCGATTAAACAAATGGCAGCAAAGTTACTGTTTATACATATGGTAAAAAAAAAACCGATGTTGTGCGCTTCTAAAAGCCTACTTAAATACTATGTCAGCCATATCCGACCTCACCTTTCCAGTATTCTGTATAGTGAAGTACATACTGATTGGATGAGCATGTAAAACTAGGATATTCTACATTTTGTATGTTGAAGTACATACTGATTGGATGAGCATGTAAAACTAAGATATTCTACATTTTGTATGTTGAAGTACATGCTGATTGGATGAGCATGTAAAACTAGGATATTCTACATTTTGTATGTTGAAGTGATGCTGGTTGAACAAGACTGATGTAAATTTCACTTTATGTGCCTAGGGGAGAAGGGGAGTTTTATGTATCATATTCCATGACTAAGGGTGTCAAACTTAAATTTTATCAAAAATTGTCGCTTCCTATTATCATTTATATGAATAAAGTGGCAGATTTCCCAAAATTAACTTTTTAGGATCCT